AACATGTTTGTTAGCTGTCAGAATTCAGTCAGAATTCTGAGATTAAAGTTAGTATTTGTAGAAAAAAGTGAGAATTCTGATACTAAAGTAAGAGTTCTGAGAAAAAATTCAGAATTTGGAAAGAAATTTCAGAATTCTTAAATTCTGATATTAAAGTCAGTTTTTTTCCTCATGTTGTACTAAAATAACATTTAAAAAGCAGTTTACTTTTTTATTTTTTCAGTGGCTTTAATCGTCTTCCGTACAACATCCCTTCTATGATAGATGTAGAATAATAAAGAATGAAATGTTTTCTCTGCCAGTCCGTTTTTTCCTGACCACCTCTCCCTCGTTAGACTGGCAATCAGAAAATAGATTGTCAATCCAAATAACTGGAAACTGGAAAAAAAATTAATAACGATTTAATAAAGATTCAGTAAATTTAAATATTAATATTGAGTTGTGGTTTTAAAGAGCAGCCTGATAGACATCAGAGCACCTCACTGGTGAACGTTTCACCAACACACCATCAATAGGTGCAGACATCTGACGGATTATTTCAGAAACACCTGAATGCAGCGTTTCTCTCAAAGCATTGCTCAACATTTATTATTTCTGATGAACTAAAACATAATTGAAGGGGTTGAATAACTAAATACAGTATAGTTTTTACAATGTCATTTTTTTTTTTCTGTTTTGTGTTTTGTTTATTGTAAAAAGTGCAGAGTATTAAAAAAAAACCCTCATATTTTAGGGGTGCTTTGATTCAATTTAGGGTCGCTTCAACACCCCCAAAAATAGGCTAAGACCAGCATACGCATTTATGCCTTTAGTTTATGCCTTTGGTTTTGTGCCAAACAAAGACTTTAAACTACCTCAACAGGCGTGCATTCATTTAGTAATGTACAAAAAAGCATTTAATTACTTACTTTTTGGTGTTTTTTGAAGCGTATGGTGATCTGACCTTAAATGTTTTATTTTTTTTGTAAATGACTAAAGGAATACGCCTGTTGGGGTAGTTTAAAGTCTTTTTTTTTTAAAGGTATAAAGGCAGATCTGACTCTAGGTATGCAGGTCTGACTGGATGATCCTGGGACAGAACATCAGCTGCTGGTATAGATGTTGGTCAAGTAACAAAATACAAAGACTTTACTTAAGTAGAAATCATGGCTATCTATTGTTTATTTTATTTTATTTTTTGCTTTAATCTCTAATTTCTACTGCTTACATTTCAAAGATAGAACACAATTATGGCC